TATCTTGAATGAGCAAATTCCATAATTGGTCTCCCAGAATTAGTACACAGACCTCTTGTTGTTGTTGAGGTTGTGGGCCTTCAAGTCCTTTCTGACTTATTGCGACCCTAACATGAACCTATCACAGCTTTTTCTTAGCAAATTTCTTCAGAGGGAGTTTGCCATTGCCATCCTCTGAGAGAGGCTGACTTTCCCAGGTCACCCAGTGGGTTTACATGGCCAAACCAGAATTTGAACCCTGGTCTCCAGAGTCATAGTCCAAAGCTCAAACCATTACACCATGCTGCCTGTCACAGACCTCTCCATCAGCTTACTTCAGGCACTTTCTTTTTCAATCTTAGAAAATTACCTGTATTAACAGTTTGCTCCCAAATGGTTGTGATCAAAGTTTGCTCCAGATTTTCTATTGCACAGAGGGGTGAAAAGAGGGAAAAATATTAGACATTTCCTGAATAAAACAAAACCAAGAAAAAACCCACAGAATTTTCACATACACAAAACCCCTCATATAAATTCAGATCATTCTGTCTGCAATCATGTTTTACTGTTTTAAGTACGGAGTCTGTGACAAGATATTGAAAAGACCCAGGCCCGACTCCACAGTTCCATAAACAAAACAAAACAAAACAAATGGATATAAGCTGAATATGATTATTTAAATAATTTCCAGTAAGCATTCAACTTCCCATAATGTTCCATCACTTAGAGTTAGTGCCAAGGGAAGCAAAAGTAAAAGGACCCTTGGAAGCAGAAAGGAGAGGCACCTTTCACTTGCACTGGTGCACTTGCAAAGCATTTTACTAACTGAGAAAGGGATGACAGTGCTTCAGGGTAGCAAATTCTCAAGTGAAATTCAGTCCAAGAGAACAAACAGTAGAGAAACCAAGGCCTCATCTGCACTGCAGAAATATTGCAGTTTAACACCACTTTAATTGCCATGGCTCAATGCTATGGAATTCTGGGTTATACAGTTTTGAGCAATATTTAGCCTTAATCAGAGCACTCTAGTGCCACAACAAATGACAATTCCAAGAATTCTATAGGATGCAGTTTTCCTTCCTCTTCTAAAAAAAAGCCATTCAAGGGACAATGATTTCTCTTCAAATATTTTGTGGAACCCTGATGTCACTATCCATCTAAAAATGATGTGACTTTCCTTGCAACTAGCCTGGATTTAGAGCATTGTTCGAGATCTGTTCACTTCCCTACATTATTCAATTTTCTGGGTCCTCATCCAGAGTAGTAGACCTGCAAGTTGCACATGCAGGATAATGTAAAGTTTGCAACAGTAATCCATGTCTCTGAATTCTGGCTAGCTGCCATTTAAGGTTTGTTTCTGTAACAAAAGAGCACCCAGAACATAAAACATCTCGAGAAATCTTACCAGATTTTGCTACTGAGGTGCTTTCTTGTTCCAGTCAATTTAATATATTGTTTTAAAACAGATGAACCATATTGTTTTGTTTTTTTAATTCTGATTTATAGATAAACCTAAGTACATCATTTCTGACAACACACACATTGTTAACACATGAGATGGTGGTCTGGGCCTGATGTTGGAAAGATGGAGACACAGTTCTTGTGGGGTGCTTGACACATGGAGAATCAAAACTTTATTGCCTCAGCTTTACTGTCTTTATTCCTGGTAAACTCCCAACCATGGGATGCAGTTTCAATTTTCAACCACATCACATTTTTTATGGCTACATCTGCTCTGTAGAACTAACTGCCATGGCTCAGTCAGAGAGTCCTGTTGTCACAAAAAACTAAAAATCCCAGGATTCCATAGGATGGAGACATTGCAGTTAAATTGGTGTGAAACTGCATTATTTCTGCAGTGTGGATGCAGCCTATGCAAGGCCCCAAAAGCAAAATATAGATGCTGTGATTCCAAAACTGATCACTTCTTTTTCCCTGCATACTTTTTTCACCATTTTTTCCTTGATGAAGCAGCCTATGAGCTTTGAAAGCTACCATGTTATATACCCCAAATCCTCAAAACTATTCATGTAAGTATTGCAGGTTATTTTAATAAATTATGCTGTTCCTAATACCTTTATAGAACTCTGTGACCTTTTGTAAGGCAGAGGTTTTCTGAGAGGTTATTCTGAGTCTCTCTTCCAAGTTTGCATAAACATCTGCCACATATCCTACTAAGTTCTTCTCACATCTGGAAGGAAACATGATTAAGTTTAAGAAAAATTAACAGAATCTCATTATCTGCAATCTTGTGGCACTAAATGGCAATACTGGATGTTAGACCAGAGTCACTTCTGGAATGATGTCCCAATCTGCCTTTTCAGAGTGTGAGATCTTTTAGATAAAGAACTTATTTATTTAAATATATATTAGTTGCCCTATATCAGCCAGTTTTCATGGTGACTTACAAGAAAAAAAGCAAGTGAACTCCAAAGCCCACTTACAAACAGAAACAGCATAATGAAATAAATTAAAAACAACAAGCAATTTTAAAAAAGAAAGAATACAGGCATCATCAGAAGAACTAAAAATGCCTGAGACAAATCTGCTTAAAATATACTACAGCAGCAGAAATATAAGTTGGGCAAATAAAGTCTTTGCCTGCCATCAAAAAGATAACAAAAGATGAGATGGATTTGTTTTATGTTTTATTTAAGTCATTTTAACTTATGTGAGCCGCCTTGGTTGCCTTGGCAGAAGGCGGGATATAAGAATAAAGTTGTTGTTGTTGTTATTCATTTTCAAAAGAATTTAACAACATCTGAAACACTGAATGTGGAAAGAGGCAAAACTGACACATTTGCTCATCTTCTCTTTCACAGTAAGTTGTTGCTGTTTTAAAGCATTTGTGAGCCACCTTGACAATTAAATAAATAAGTTCTTTGCTGCTTTTGTGGGAACAGGACAAACATACAAGAAAAGATGGGGGGGTTGGTACAAATACAAAATTCCCATGCTTAGTGGACATATGAGAAAATATGACTTACTAGGAAAGATAACAATGTTGAGGAAATTGAAGGCAACAGGAAAACAGAAGGACAGCATTGCAGATGGATAAATAAAGGAAATAAGAACTCTGAATTTGCAAAACATGAACAGGGCACTTCCAGTTGAAGCTGTCTGCCCTGGACATACAGTTTGATTCTGTATAAGGCAGCTTTCTTCTTTTTTTCTTCTGGCAACATATATTTTAGTTCACATCTTAAAGCGAATACACTTTATTTACATCGTCCCTGAAAACACACTGCATTCTGTTCCTGAAATTTTCTTATAGTCTTGACATTAATGCAGAACCAGGAAAAAAAATTTTTTTCAACAAATGCCCAGAAAACTGGACAGGCATGTGGTTTTTAGGTAAGCTACAAATAAGACTTTTATTTAACTAGTTTACTGTGAATAGCTTTGAGCCAGATTAGATTGGTATCACTGAGATTAGAGTCAAATAATGTATGATTCAGTCTAAATGGACCTCAATCAATTCATTATCCCACTTCCAGGGGCGTTACTGGATCAACCCAGTAAAAAAGCCAATCCACAGAGTTGAAGGGACTAGTGAATCTCCACACATGGCAGCCACTAACAGGGGATACTTCCACAAAGAGAATGGAAGGATCTTCTATTACTAAAGATATTAAACAGCTGACTGGCCATGACATTGCTTTGGTCCTTTCAACCTGTAATCACTTAAACCAGGGTTAACTCTTTGATTTACTTTTAGATCCTTCATTAAGCCACGTGGCATCACTGAAATCGAGTAAGGGCACAGCTGTGAGAGGGGATACTTAAAATGGAGTCTGAAGAAGCCTTTTTCTATGGTCTAACACAGCCTGGATCTTTCTGACTCTTTCTCAGACAGCTTTGTTAAAAATATAGCTAACACAGCAACCTTGAATTTTTGGAACTAGATAGCTGCCAGAAGCTTCAAAGGCAAGGCAAAGGCAAGAGATAATTTGCTGAGCTTGCTAGCTTCAAAGTAGAAAGATAGGAGATGTCCAAGTTTTGGGATGGAATATAGGATCAGCTTGACCAAGAGACTGGTTTGAGCCAGAAAGATAGAAAGGGAAGCATGACAGTCGTAGAAAATGATGTGTTGGACCAAGTATAAAGTAAGGAAGTTGTGAAGATAGAATGGAGACATCAAGAGGAAGATGTCAAGTTGACCCAAACAGTTAGCAAAGGTGCCCGGAAAAGAGACGGTTAAGAGGTGATATGATAGCCCTATTTGAAGGGATGTCATATTGAGGAGGGAGCAAGCTTTTTTTCTGCTGCTCCAGAGAATAGGATCTGGAACAATAGGTGCAAGCTGCAGAAAAAATGATTCCACCTAAACTTTAGGAGGAACTTCCTGACAGTAAGGACTGTTCGACAGTGGAACACACTCCTTCATAGTGGAGTCTCCTTCCTTGGGGGTCTTTAAACAAAGGGTGGATGGCCATCTGTCAGGGATGCTTTGATTGAGAGTTCCTGCATGCACGGGGTTGGATTGGATAGCCCTTGTCGTCTCTTCCAACTTTATGATGCTATGATTCTATGATTGTGTGGATCTGGGATGCCAAATAAGTTTGTGCATGTCAACTAGAAATGTAATATGTAATGATTACAGGAGGAGTTGAAATTGTAGCTTTGAACCAATCATAAGTCTGGATTAGGCATACAATATTGTAACCACAAATTAACAGTATAAAAATAACAGCTATGCAAGAATAAAAGGTCCCTCTCTCCTTGAGGCACCCGAATGCATACATATCTGGCTCTGGAAAATAAACTGCTTCCTGATCAAGAAAACTCATCTCTTTTGCCTGTCTGTTTGAGTCCTGAGACTGCCATCCCAACAAGAGCTGGGGTGACACAGCAATACTGTATTGCAGTGGTTAAAAAACTAAAAAACAAAAACAAAAATGTTTATTACTGACAGTGAATTTGCAAACACAGCAAACCTAAATTATCCAGAGATTTGGGAACGGATTTAGTGAGGCTGGACTAAGGTCCATATAAGGTAGCTTTTGATAATACCATTTTCTAAGACAGAAAGAACTTGATTTCTAATGACAGCTGCAAATGTCATCAAAGTGGAAGTATAAAAGATTATTTTATCTTCTAAAAAAACAACACCTATATGAGATCAGATGTTAAGAATGGCAGATTGTTATGGGAGATGTTATATTCCAGGGCCACACAAGAGAATAAATTGAAAGGGGCACAGCACAGAGAGCTGGACTTAGATATTAAAATTAAGCTGGCAATTCTGGGGTCTCACCATCCAGAGCTGGCAGCAACCTTCTCTGTGCTTTTGCATAATTAAAAACATG